GTGAGGAGAGAGAGAGCCGCCAGCTGTCAGATCCAGGCCGAGCGGCTCTCTCTCTCTCTCCTCACCGCTCGGCGTGCTGCTGATGATAGCGGCTCCGACCCCCAGAATCTGGGCACCTGCCAGGTTTAAAGATGGCCGCCACGATTTGCAGCGGCCATCTTTAAAAACTTAACATGACTTTACAGTGACCGGCACTGTATTCGGGACCTTGGCTCGCGTGCCACCAGAGGGGCCTCTGCGTGCCATAGGTTCGCCACCGCTGGTCTAGTGCAACCAATTACCTTCAGAAGTCACATAATTAGTTAAATAAACAGCACCTGTGTGCAATCAAATGTCACATGTTCTCAGTATATATACACACCTGTTCTGAAAGGCCCCAGAGTCTGCAACACCACTGAGCAAGTGTCACAACCAAGCAAGCGGCGCCATAACCACCAAGAAGCTCTCCAAACAGGTCAGGGACAGAATTGTGGCGAAGTACACATCTGGGTTGGGTTATATACATAGTTACATAGTATTTGAGGTTGAATAAAGACATCAGTCCATCAAGTCCAACCTAAAAAATTTTTTTTATAACCCAACCCAGAGCACCATTAAATCTATTATTAAAAAATTGAACTAATATGGCACCACAACAAGCCTGCCAAGAGAGGGCCGCCCACCTAAACCCTCGGACCATACAAGGAGAGCATTTATTCAGAGAGGCATGAAAGAGACAAAGATAACCCTGAGGGAGCTGCAAAGCTCCACAGCGGAGATTGTAGTATCTGTCCATAGGACCACTTTAGGCTGTACACTCCACAGAGCTGGCCTTCATGGAAGAGTGGCCAGAAAAAAAAAACCATTGCTTACACAACAAAATAAGCAAACACTTTTGCTGTTCGCCAAAAGGCATGTGGGAGACTCCCCAAACATATGGAAGAAGGTAATCTGGTCAGATGAGACTAAAATGTAGCTTTTTGGCCTTTAAATGTAGCTTTTTGGCCCTTTGGCTGTGAGGGTGTTTTTCCTCGGCAGGGACTGGCAAATTGGCCAGAATTGAAGGAATGATGGATGGTGCCAAGCATAGTGAAATTCTTGATGGAAACCTGTTTCAGTCTGCCAGAGATTTGAAACTGGGACAGAGGTTCACCTTCCAGCAGGACAATGACCCTAAGCATGCTGGTAAAGCAACACTTGAGTGGTTTAAGTGGTTTATGCTCCCTCACTTGGTGACAGGGGGCATTGAGGTGGCTTTCCGGCCAATCAGGAAGCCGAGTGGTGTGTAATGACTTGCTGCCTGGCATGCTGATTGGTTAGGAAGCCGGCTCCATGCTTCCTCGTCACCAGGGAGCATGGAGCTGGCTTTCCAGCCAATCAGGAAGCAAAGGGGCGGATAATGACTCACCCCCCAGCTTTCTGATTGTCCGGGTAGCTGGCTTCATGCTCCCTCATCACTTGGTGACGAAGGAGCATGAAGCCAGCTTCCCGGCCAATCAGGAAATTCATTACACGATGCCCGGCTTCTTGATTGGCTGGGAAGCTGGCTCCATTCTGATTGAGAATGGTTCATGACACATGTGAGAAGCCAATTATTTCTGAGTAGAGATGGCTCTGCGGGAGGCTTGATGAAGACAGAGAGGTTGTGACATTACCAAACAGCATCTGTCAAAGCACCTGTTTATTACAATCAAGTTAGCACACCGGGCTATCATTTAAATCTTAAATGTTTTGCTACAACAATGACAAAGTTTAATTTATTAAAACAGATGTTCATCAGTTAGGGAACTTTAGAGAACCTTAAAAGTTTGGCCATGCCCCCACCCCATTTAAGGCTTTGACAATTCAGTTGTGAGATTGTCATTCTGCAGTGAAATCACTGTAGCGCTGCAACCTTGTGGGCATGTCGTTTTAGGTGGACTTTAACCTCTTGCCGTCCGGCCGTAGTAAAAAAACGGACGGACGGCACTGCTACATTTGCGGGTTGCCGTCTCCAGACGGCAATTTTTTTCTGCTCGCGCGCGCCCCCTAGCGGGCACGCATGGGCAACAAACAAATGGAAGCTCAACTAAGGGCTCATTCACATGGGCGCGCACTCCCGTGCAGAGACCTGCTCCCAGGAGGGACAGTTCTGGCATGTAACTGCGTGCAACCGTCTGTACTCCCATATGGGGAGATGCAGCTGCACGCTGACCTGAATCTGCACATCCATACACCCATACCAGCACGGATGTGCAGGTTTGAGTCAGCATATAGCAGCGTGCAACTGCGTACTTCCATAGATATGTACAGGCAGCTGCACACAATTACATGCTGCACCTGTCCCTCCCCGAAGCAGGTCTCTGCATGGACGTGCATACCATACAGTATGTTGTAATATAATAATATTTATTTTAAAAAAATGTATAATTTGCATGAAATCTTTATTTTACAAATACACATTATGGGGTGCATGCTGGGTTTTCAAAAAAAAGCCCATCACTAACTTTATGCTTGTTGGTGGCTTGTGTAAAAAGACTAGTTAAAGCTGAAATTCAAGCTGTGAGTGGCCCTGCCGGAACCACCCGGCTCAACAAATGTCGAAGGAGCCCAGTGGAAAATTGTCTGGCGAACAGTGACTGTAGCCAATCAGCGATGGGCGCTGGCTTTCAGAATACAATAGCCCAGCATGGGAGATTCATCCATTCACGCTGTTTAGCATGGATGGACGAATCTGTTAAATCTCTTTTGTTCAGCTGAGAGAAAGAAATCTAAAAGTGCTGAGCCAGCTTTAGACAGTTCAGTCAGTACATGGAGGGAAAAGGACTGCTTCTCTTCTGAGTCATTTAGATCTAATGTGACTTTTATATGTTAATACTAACTGTGAATGAAACATAAACAACACTTTACACTCAAATAATATTTTATAAACCTTACTTACATTTTTTGAGAAGAGATGTCAAAATGGGAACTCTGATAGGAATGTGTTCAATTTCTATGGTATGCTCCTTCACACTAATGACTTTACCCCGTAGCTTCACACTTCTTTTTATGAAATTGTCTGGGATGTGTTTAGCGTTTGTAAACTTGGTTACCTGTTAATATTGGTCATGACAGGAGACAAATGGATCATTCATATAATGGCATGAAATATTTAACACTTTGCCTATTTATCGTCCGTATTAAGCTATTTTGGCCCTACTATTCCATTAAATGGATCATGTTTAGTGTCAAAATGGCAAATCAATGCCAATAAAATCTTTTTGATTATAATAATGACCCCATCTGCACACATGCCGTTACCCTCTGATTGTCCTGAAACGAGCCAGAATTTGTTCTCAGGTGCCAGACACCTCTATATAGATGGACCGAATGAGCAATTAACACTTGCAGTGCGGGGGTAGACCCACTGCAAGGGTTAAGAAAAATGTTGCCTGGAGTTCTACTTTAAAAAAAAGTTCCCTCCCAACCCTTCCAATTTATTGACTGACCCAACAGGAAAGTTGAGGAGGAAGAAGACCAGATCTTAACAGTACAAGGAAGTGTTCAGATGTGCATGTTTGTGCACTTTGGCATTTGGGGCAAGAAGATATCTAACAGTATGTGCATTGTGCATGTGTCTTGTGGTCCTGTTAAAATCCAAGTTATAATGCTAAATGTGTTTGATGATTCTGCGCTGGAAAGTAAAGGGCTGGCAAATTTCTTTGGCACATACAGCAAAGATTAGGCTTGAGGCGCTCCAGACACAGCGACCACAAAGGGACTCGAACCCTCAATTTTCTGATCAGAAGTCAGACGCCTTATCCATTAGGCCACGCGGTCTGCATAATGTTAACTGTACTGAACAACATGGTCTGACAAGAGTAAATTATGTAACTAGTATGAGCATCTCTTGTAAAGGTGCCCACACACCTTGCGATAATCGTACGATAATCGCGGGAAATCCCGCGATCGTACGATTATCGTAAGGTGTGTGGAAGCCGTGCGATCTCTACTACTGTAAGGTCGCACCACTTTTATCTTAGGAACATGTTCGAAAACCCGCCGAGCATCGTACGATGTTCGGCGGGTCTGTAGCATGTTCGTAAGATAAAAGCCGGACGGGCAAGCGCACACTGCCCGTTCCGCATTGCAGTCGTCGGAAGCCCGCCCCTCAGGGGGGAGTGGCTTGCGATCATCGCAAGTACGATCTGCCTGTCCAAGATAGGCAGATCGTACGTTTTTTTAATTACCTTACAACCATCGCAAGACAATAGTCTTGCAATGGTTGTAAGGTGTGTGCCCAGCATAACACAAGCACTTCCAATTGGTAGAACTCACTGTTATCACATAGAAAGCTCCAACTGAAAATCTTTTTGGAGGAAGACAGCATGTGAATCAGTAGAGAAACACATGACATCGATGTCCGTGACGTGACCGGATCTCCTACGGGACTCCCGGAAGCAGGAGGAGAGGTGAGTCTTTCGATCAAAAGAATTTTAATCGATCAAAAAGTTTAACGATTAATCGAGGAATTAATCGTTAATTTCCCCAGCCCTAATATATATATACAGTGAACATTTTGTCGCACTACGTAGCGCTTCTTTTGGCAGTCTATCAAAGCCTATTGGGGTCAAATCCAACAAAATCCGCTGGAATAATAGGTCATGTTCGAGCGACAAGCTTGAGCTACAAGCGACATTGATCTGTGAGATGTGAACAGCTCCATTGACATGCATTGGACGAGCTACATTGAGCGATATTTGAGTGATTTTTGAGTGGAAATCGCGCTACAAATCGCTCAGTGTGAATGGGGTCTTAGACACTTACCAGTTTTATGCTCCTTGCACACAAAACGACTCCGGCAACTGCCAAGCCAATGCTGATATTCTGTTAAAAGAAACAATATGGATGCATGGAAATATATAACTGCTCACGATTATGTACACGGGGCCATTTGAAGACTCTATTGTGCACAAAGAATAGACATTAAATTATATTTTGTGTCACAGTCAGATTTGTGAGAAAGTACTTGTAAATCCCTAGGAACTTTTAGGATTCAAGTATGAATAGCTCATAGAATATTCTTGGGTTTATAGCTACATTGTAATAATAAAGAGTTATATTTAAAGGGTCAGTCAATTAAAGGTGTAGTCTGTTGAGCCCAGTCAGCTAAGTCATGCAAACCACCAGGGCCGCACCAATCATGAGGCAGCCTGAGGCGTTTTTTGTACTCACCATAACATCCTTTTCCAGTAGTTCATTGCAGTACACAGGCACTCATTGTTCTATGAATTGGGGTTTATCTGCCAGTTCTAGGAGGCTGAATACTATGTAAAGGAGAAGGGGTACAGCTCCACGTAATGGCTATTTCCCTGCACATGCAGGATGAACTCAGGAGTAGCATGAAACAGAAACAAAAGAGGACCTCCCTAAAATAACTGCTGTGGCAAAAGGCCCGCAATGCAAAAAGATCCTAATTTGAGAGAAGGGAGTCATATCCTCCAATGAACTACTGGAGGAAAAGATTTTATATTGAGTACAACAAATCCGATTGCAGCATTTACTGGGGGGACAGGAACCGATTCTTCAATGATTGAGGATGTCTAAAAGCAATGGAGGTAATGAGGTCACCAGCACACCAGGGGCCACATTATCAATCCATCCTTTATGGATGTTAGATAAGCATGCTATCACAAAAGATTGCAACGTTTCTGAACCAGTGTGGTCCCTTTATCAGGAAAACCAATGGGAGGTCACACTGCTTCCTCCTCTGATAGACTACAACTTCAATACAAATGAGTAAAGTAAACATGAGATTGTAGTCCATCATGGGAGTGAGCTTGAAGTGGTCGCTACTTTACAACACACACAGCAGTGGCGGAACTACCGCCGGTGCAGGCGGTGCGGACGCAACAGGGCCTCCGGCCCCTAGGGGGCCCAGCGCCGGATCGGTACCCAGCGGCCCCCCCATCTCTGCGCCGAGAGTGTCGGATCATCCGTTCATCCGACACTCCCGGCACCAGGGCCCTTTGTTCCTTAGCTCCGCCACTGACACACAGGGACCATGGGGAAGAAAAGTAGCCACCCTCCAGAAGGAAGGACAGTGTCAGCACCAATTCAGAGAAGATTTGAGGATCTTCAGCCGAGTGACACACAAATAAGATACATTTTTGTTCATAGTTAGGGCCGGTTCACACCAGCTCCAGTGCTTTTCAGCATGATTCGCTGCTGGAACGCATCCTGGCCGGCTCCCTGCGTTCATGGGCGGGAGGGGGCATGGCTGTGCCTTGAAGTCAATGGCACCACAGCCTGCAGTGCGTTCGCCCACTCTGGAACCCGTTGAATATCAGTTCCTGTATTCCGGTCCAGTGCGATCTGAAAAAATGCTGCATACACTATTTTTTTAGAACGCACTGATGTGCCACGCGTTCTGGTGCAGGTGATCGCACTGCGGTGCCATTGACTTCAATGCACCGCCACGCTCCCTCCTGCCTTTGCCTCTCAGCATTATGCCGTGACTGAGAGTCTTGCAATGCCTCATGGGACTTGTACTTTCACCACAGCTGGCGTGCCCGGGTTGCCTCCCCGTATTACCACATGCAGTGGCGTCACAAGGGGGTGCGGCCCGCACCCGGGTGACACCAAAATGACTTACAGTCATTTTGGTGTTACCCCCCTCTGAAAAGTCGGGTGCTCGGTCATGGACCAAACGCCCGACAGTATCAGGAGAGAGGAGGGGAGCCAGTGGCATACCTTATCCCGCCGGGTGACTGTCCCCTCCTCTCTCTGCCGGCGTCCATCACCAAGATGGACGCCGGCAGGTATCAGAATACTGCCGCACCTGCGCGATTATGTCACGCGCACGCTCAATTACCGCTCCGGATGTCACCCAGCCTCGGGACGCCCCTGATCTTATGGTCTTATCGGGACGCCCCTGATCTGAGCACATGGTCTTATCAATATCCAGATTTATACCCCAAAGCCATGTCAGCTCTGATCCACATACATGGGGTGGTCTACAGCACACCCCTCCTTCCACAGTCACATGTCATCTGGGTGGACGTCCCCTTGATATGGTGGATGTGCTGTGTTTGTAAATAAAGTCTGTGTGCGGGCTACATATATGACGTATGCATGAGGACACGATCCCTACCCGGACAAAATATATATGAGAATCAGCCAGCTGGGACACCTTAGAGATCAGGTTATCTGCCGGGTCACTCGGAGCCATGTTGTTGACGTCTGGATGCGGAGCCGCGGCTTTCCTACGACTCTCCTGCAGGTGGCAGCACTGAGACAGCGAAACTGCGGCCAATACAGTGACACAGCAGGACTCCACGAGGAGGGAAGAGGAGACACGCTGCGCTCTCACTCCTACTGCGCATGCTCTGGAATCGTGCAGCTCGGCGAGTGATTATTACACTGCCGGTTAGCGATCGGTGTGCTCTCACTGCGCCGGTTACCAGTCAGTGTTACAGATGTTAAGTACTAATTGCAGCGGGTTTAGTAATTGCAGAGCATTAGAAAGTCAGATAAAGTCTTTCTTGCAGGTAAATACATATGGTGAAAGAACTGGAGACATTTACAAAGTTTCTTTGTAGTCAAAAGGGCCTGCCATACGCTGTACTAGGGGTAGGCAAAATCTGGCCATCCCTCTGTTGTGGGACTACAAATCCCATGAGGCATTGCAAGACTCAGGTATGATTACGGTGTTCTGTCGAAACCTCCGACTCATTGAGATCTCCGACTGGTTACGCCACATCCAGTGACTTGCCAGTAGCCGAGTTAGAGCAGATGGCGCTAGTGCGAGTGTGGCAACCGTGCCACTGTTAGAATCCTCATTCTCCAACCCCCATCAGTGCGCCTGCGTGATGGCAAAACATGTCATCTCTTAGCATGTTGTGGAATGTGCCATTGGATGGGCGCACCAATGCTATGTAGGAGGACTTGATTTTCGCTGACTGCGCAGGTGCACTGACGGTGGTCGGAGAACTTGACAGGGATTGTAAGGCCGCACAGGCACAGTGACGGGAGTTCGATAACTCGATCTGGATCCCGACAGTGTCACGAATGGCAAACGCACTCATCAATTCATAACTAGCTTTACAGTAAGGTGCACATGGAAGGGCTTTATACAGTACAGCAGCAACAAGTCTCCCAGCACACTCACCAGCCAGCATGCAAAAAAAAAAACCTGTCTAACTGCTAAGGTTAAAAACAGTTTAGATACACGTCTTCTGCAGAATATGTGAAAGCCGCACTGCCTTGTCAAGGCTCCTCTATATAGTGCCTAACTCTAACCTATGAGAGTCTCCATCTTGGAACACATGTAGCAAAAGATAAAACTGAGTGCAGGTTTGCCTGGAGGCAGACCAACCCCCTGGGGGGGTCTCAGCTGCCAGTGTCACACCTGGCACACGTGTACTAGCACCATCTGGTCTAAATCTATTGGCAAGTCACCGGATGTGACGTCACCTGTCGGAGATCTCGAGGAGTTGGGGCTCTCGACAGAATACTGGCAGGCAGATTCATGATGGGATTTTTAGTTTCACCACAGCTGGAGGGCCAGAGTTTGCCTACTCCCGCACTGTGCATTTTACAATTATGTGTTCTCAATGATTTTGAAGTGGTTTTCGTACTTTTTTTCACATGTGTTTTTGAAGTTTTTATTACGTGTTTTCTAGCCTCGGGAATTTTTTTTGTGTGGCCAATGAAGAGCAGTCCATATCCCCATCCCATCCCACGTTAAGCTGACACTCGGCACTGGGCAGCACATTTGAATGTCTGCTTGGTTTGTGAACTGACAGTGCTGTGCTAGGGGAAGGCCGAGGTGCCTCTCACCTACAAAAGAAGGCATGCGGTGACCCACTGAACACGGGTTCTCCTGCACGGGGCGGAATGGTTGTGGTGACACCATTGATCTTATATGGTGATATTAGGTCAAAGTCATTGACCAACTCTAGCCCTCTGGTCCTATGGCCATATTAGGTCAATGACATCACAGCATCCTGTCCTTTAGCTTACATGCAGCTGTGGGCAGGGAATGCCCATCCATACTCAAAACCAAACTTATTTGTAAGACATTTTGATAAACAATAAAAGAAAAACATGGCAATGCAGGAGCACAAAGGACTCAAGACTACATGATAATCTGTTTTTTCTTTAATAGAAGTTTCAAGAACAAATATTCACCTTCTTATAATTTTGGTTTACAGTCAATCACTTTAGGAAAATAGACCATGTAACTAATGATTCTGGTTCATACAAAATGTGTCATAATTAAAAATCATTTCAAAGAAATAAAATTATATACTGCTTCCCATTAGAAGATTGTGATTTTGTCTTTACAAATATTTAAAAGCATAGAAAAAAAAAAAGCACAAAATGATATTAAAATAACCTTTGAAGTCCCTGGTCCCAGCCCGTAACAATACACGGACATCGAGTAAAACATCTGTACAAAGTGAATTGTAAGAATGACGTATGACATAGTAATATGAAAAGTACAACCGTTATCATAGGAACCATCTACCTCTATACTTAAATGCTTGCTTTCTCCGCAGCTGTCAATATGACAGCATTTTAGAGCTCTGCTCAGCGCAACAAGTCACAAACACCACCAGATCGAACATGGTACTGGAAGGCTGCAGTGCTACGAACAAGGTTATTCTTAATAATACATCCTGTATATTGTACTTATAGAGTGCTTGCAACATACACATATTTATAGGCCAAAATATTGTGTTACAGTCAACATTTCACTTTGATGGAGACCATTCTTTTTTATGTGTCTTGCTCCCATTACAGGGCTGCCTTGAGGTGGGTTGCAGTAAAAATGCAGACATACGCGGAGCTCCCTGGAAATCACCGTCAGTCTCCGCTGCAGTGCATAGTGATGAATGGAATGTTTAAATAAAGCTTAATGCCACAAAGCACTGACCCCCCACTGCAAGCACACATGGACACCAGCTCAGACGCCAAAACAGATGGTCTTAGTGTGGAGGCCGGTGTCAATGAGCCCTTACAGTGGATGCATCAGAACAGCCACTGAATTTAAAGCCCAACAGAACTTTCAGTTTAACTCAGCTAAACACATTCCAGGTACATCACAATAAAAAGGTGTTCAGAGTCTTACACTATCTTTAGAAAGCGTCCACAGCCTGGGTAGAAAAGCCTGTCTCCGGGCAGCATGCTGCAGAAAGGAAACTTTGCACTGTTTGGAAGCAGTAGTCTCTCCACAGTGGTCCCACACCCCTTCTGCTGAAGCAGAACTAGAACTTTCCAATCAGCTGGGAGCAGGAGCTTTGCTAATGGCAGAGGTAAAGGTGTAACTCATCAGGGGGCATGTCAGACTGCTGTAGAGAGACCGCTGCTTCCAAGAAACAGCAAGGTTCCCCATCTACAGCATGCTGGCAGAGGACAGGCTTTCCTACTCAGGCTGTAGCCGCTCTATAAAGAAAAAACAAAGCATGGTATGGATCCTTCCTCCCTCCCCCTTCCTTTGCTGTACTGTCTGCTGCCAAGTGACAGGTTTATTCCAGGAAGAAAAATTAAAGTGTAACTCAGAACGCCAAGCACTTCTAAGTACAAAAGTACCACAGGTAATAACATGCCACATATGTTTACCTTCTATTTTTAAGCCTGAGATTATATATATATATAATCTATCTATCTATCTATCTATCTCCTAGAATGTAGCACTACAGTAACTTCATTGTTGTGATGCAACACTGAGATATTTTGTAAACGAACTATTAAAAAACTGATTATACATTGATGAATGATTTCAGAAATCATTCAAGGTCACAGTTCAATTTAAAACACGGAAAAATGAAATGCACTTGTCGCCCACAATATGTAATATCTGATATAACCTGGAAACACACCTTCCTTTTGCACCCTAAGGCTGGTGGTTGTGGTAAGGTGCTGTATATGAGAGTTGCCACTTCTGATTAGCATCTTAATACGCATATACAAAATAAAACAGCAACATGTGCTACAGTGCACAACAATGCTGCCATAAATAATGCATATGTATAATTTAATGCAACGAGGTACGTTGACAGCCTCTTCAAAGTGAATGTACTGTTTTAGGGCAACGCATGTCAACACTTGAAAATACATGGGATTTAGGCGCACGTGATAATGGGCGGAAGAGGTGTGGATTGGCCCTAAAGGCTCTATTCAGCCTTCATATGGCAGACTTCAGGGTGTATCATATAAAACTGGTGGACGTGTGAGAGATATTTTTTATAACAAACAGATTGTTCTTACTTTTTTATGCTTAAAGCAACCCTGTCATTAGACCAGCAAAATTAAACAAGTACCCTGTAAAATAGAATGGTTAAAGCAAAGGGGACAAGAATAAAACCTGACCTAAACTATCACACCCTTGCCCTCTACAGATCTATACTTTCTGAGATCAGAGGGCCGCTGTTCCACTGTTTGTTGACATCCAGTGCTGCATCTCTGTCCATCTGCCTAGCGCTTAGAAGTTTATGGGGCTGTAATGTGCAGATGTGGCCAGCAGGGGGAGCAGTGTAGTGCTGGAGGTTGAGATTGTATAGGACAGGAGTGAGGGGCAAAAAGTGCACTTTGTTTTACTTTTCTAGTCAAATTTTTGCTCTCTGAAAGAGCCATGGGCACCACTGGTATTCAACACTTCAGGTGTGTCAGATACCTAGCTCCCCCATCTGGGCCCTGTGGCTAGACCCACTGTCCACTATGTGACTATAGGATGCCAAGAAGTGTCTGATACCAGCGCTGCCCTTCAGTCACTGACTACATTTTTAACATCTTACTTTACAGGGGGTCTGTAATTAATTTTTTTACTCTAGCAACAGGGTCACTTTAAATTAGAAAATAACCTAAAATCCAATTGGCTGGACAGTCATTTTTCCAGTTAAATGTCTGAAAAATATTTCCACTTTCAGCGTGAAGCTGGGGAATCTCCTCAAAGTGGGTTTTTCTCATCTATGTTGGTTTTCAAGAATGAAAGGTTGTCATTTGTTTAATGAAAGTGTAAACACCTCAAATTAGCAACAGCAGTCACATATCAGCCTTTTTGTCATTCGGTTTGCAGCAAATTGTTAGCAGTTGCCGTCTGGTTGCTACAATTTGCAAAGCCTCATTATACGTACTATGAAAGTCTAAGGGCCCATCACACCTATGCGTTGTGGTGAGGCACGCATCACCTTAACACATGGTACTGCACTATACACTCTTAGGGTGCTATTGAAAATAAATGGCGAAGCACTAACGCAGAAAGGGAATGCACATTGTAGCAGTAGAGTTAAACGGACTATCACGCTTTGGGGGGCACTATGTTGTAAGAATGGTGCCACTTCCTGTTCGGGTGTGTTGTGTTAAAGCACTGTGTGTTAGTGTGTGTGCATTAGAACAGGAAAGTGTGAATGAGATCTTGGGGGTCCATTAATAAAGCGGGGGTATGCCCTAACCAGAGCTTACCACTGCTTTTTATTAAAAGTGCCTCTGACACAGTTATAAACTCACTACTGTGCTTTGCGCTCTACTTGCTCGGAATCAGACAGAGCATCATGAATTCTAATGAAAAAGTGTGTCATCAGGAGGAAGCAAGGACCTGTTCGAGGTCACCTGACAACACTTGCTTCCTATCCACATATGTTCTCGGCAGCATTAAGCAGAGAACATCTTCAGGACATTGGGAGCTCTGCACTGCACTATGCATTGAAACATAGAATGCAAGAGGTGGTGTGGAGTATTTGGAGTGATGTCCTGTGGTGTGCAGAGAGGGGAACCAAACTAGGTATAAGGAGACCCATGAAGCCTGTTATACACCGCATGAATATCAGCCGATTCCTGCTGAATTTTCGAGCTGTGGGTGGCCTACTCAGCACCATTTGGCTCTACAAAAGTAAATTAAAAAAAGAAGAGCTGGGTGGAATTGTCGGCAGAAAAGTGACTGCAAAAGTGTATTGAAGGGGTCTGCCATAAAATTGTTGGCCTATCAGATGCTATCACCGTTTGAATATGCAGGCAGTTGCGAGTGGCCAGGGGCTGTCTAAATACAATAGCCGACATGGCAGATTCCTCCATCCACGCTGTTTACTGTGGATGAAGCAATCAAGCGATTTCTCACTTGGCTGAACAAGGGTAATGTACATGTGCAGGGCTAGCTTTAGTGTACCTACTTCTCCATGCACACTCCTACAATTAGGAAACAAGCTGTATTCATTAGCGGGGTTTACTGATCCATGTGACAAAGATCTTTGATTACAAGTGAACATTGTTAGTCAACTGTTGGATTTTAACACTTCAGGTTGTAAAGCACTTGCCAGCATGTTTCAGTGACCCCATAACAGCTCTTTTTCTGGTTTACGTGTACTCTACCCGAGGATAACACAGTACAGACAACCCACGTAGCTGTGACTGAGGACATACTGAGCTTTCATAAACAATATAGCAAGGATTTATTTTGTTTTCTAGAAGAGTCGAGTGTAGAACTGTTCAAAGGCTAGGATTGATTTTGAATATTCAGTTATTTCTTCCAATTTTAACAGAAATTGCGTCTCCTCCGCTGGCACTTCCATGAAGATTGCCCTTCGTCCTGTAGTTTCTTAAATGACGGTCCCAGAAAGAACCACCAGCAGAAGCCAATGACCACACATATCATAGACTCCACAAAATAACCATCTAGTGTTGTCACACATGTGCCATTAAGTCTTACACACAGCTGAAAGAAACATGAGAAAAAGGGAAATGCAAATATTTTAGTGAATACATATTCAAAATGAACCTCATTTCATAGATGATCTTAAGCAGAACTGTCTGGGTTTACCCACAGCAATTAACCATGGTATCTCTTTACAGACTACAGAACAGGCAAGAAAATGTAAAAGGAATCTGACCCCCGAACCCTGTTCATTTAATTGTGCTTTAAAAGAGATAGTAACTTTAAAAAAAAATAATCAGAATGTGGTCATGTGGCCATTTTAGACCTATAACAAACAATGCCTATTTTATAGGCTTCCCATAGGCAGCTTGATTTACTTGGGTATATAAGCATGGCCATACACTGTTAGCATTTCATGTTCTTAATAAAGGATATTCAGAAATTCTTTGAGTGGCCATGCTGGCTCAATCGACTTTTGATGAAGGAGCCGGGCTGAAAATTGTCAGCCGAACAGTGACTGCAAACAAACAATCAGCTGCAGTCACTGTTCAGGTATTGTGACAGCTGAATACAATAGCCCCAGTGGGAGATTCTTTTAGACTGTAAGCCCTCAGGGGCAGGGCCCTCCTTACCATCTTGTCTCAAATTGTATTGTTATTGTAATGTCTTCCTTATATTGTAAAGTGCTGCACAAACTGTTGGCGCTATATAAATCCTGTATAATAATAATAATTCACCCACCCATGCTGTTTAGCATGGATGAAGTAATCTGTTAGCTTGCTTTCCTTCAGACTGCACGCTGAACCAAAGACAACTATGCATGTATGGCCAGCTTAAGACTGCAGTAGGTAAAGTCAAATCAATGCGTAGCTATTCTTCTAACTAGGAGACGGTAGCCTGATGTACATATGCACACTAACAGCAGAACTGGCGATACAATGAGCAAAATTCAGCCAGTTCTTGAACAAGACGAAATTTGATCAGTGGGCGGCCCTGTCTCCCGACTCCTGTCGGACATCCTTCTATTTTAACATTGAAGGAGTTAGGCTGGCCATACATGCAAATTTCAGCTGGTTCTTCATGAACCAGCCGAAATCCACACAGCTGTTTGAAGGGGCCAGTTGGAAAATCTTAAAATGAACAGAGCCGGCAGCCAATGAGCTGCTGCCTCTGTTTGGGTATTCTGACAGCGACCACCGTCAGCATACAATAAAGAGAGCGAGAGGTTCCTCCATCCATACTTGTAAGCATTGATGGAGTTATCTATTATATTGTCTTCATTTATCCCGCCGGATACACAAAGAAAATATTACTGTGTATGGGCAGCCTTAGTTGGAAAATTGTTGGCCCAACAGAGCCTGCATTCAATCAGATGCAGGCATTGTTCAGGAATTTTGAAAGCTAGCAGGGTTGACTTGTCAAATTGCAACGGCTGCAGCAGTTTAGCGTAGACGGAGCCATCTGTTACATTTTTCCATTCAGTCTGAAGCTGAATGAAAAAATCTAGTAGTGTATACCCAGCTTAAGGCAGCTAAACCACGTTAAAGGGGACTTGTGTTTATTATACAGCTGTTAGGTGCATGCAAAATATGTCCACAAGACTTACAGAGTGTCTCTGGAGCCACAAAGCAAAGGCTGCTCTAATACATAAACAGCTTTTCAACAACTGAAGTTGAAACTGGGCAATAAACTGTCCATATACAATACGGATTTTGCATTAGATTGTGGGAATTTGAATTGCATCTCCTTGTGGTCAGTAGTCACCACCAGAATATGTCTGCTGTGTTCAAACTACATAACAAGTAAAAAATTACACATGAACATGCCGTGTACAGTATACAGATCTCATTCATGCACAAGGGCATAGTGGTTAGCGCTTCTGCCTTGCAGCACTGGGGGTTCCTGGTTCCAATCCTGGCCAAGTCACGATCTGCAAAGGAGTTTGCATGCTCTCCCTGTGCTTGTGTGGGTTTCCTCCAGAACTCCAGAGACATGCTGGAAGGTACATAAACTCCGGTCTAAATTGGCCCTGTTTGTATGTATGTATGTATGTATGTATGTATGTATGTATGTATCTATGTATGTATGTGAAATAGGGACCTTAGACTGTAAGCTCCTCGAGGGGAGAGACTGATGTGAATGTGCACGTGCATGTAACGTGCGGCATAAATTGACACACAAATAAGCACAAAAGCGCTAGCAACACAAGTCAGTGATAAGGGGAGAGAAGAAGAAAATCTTCAGTGTATAACACTATCGGGGCTGCTCTCGCTGGTTAGGGAAACCGCATAGCTGAAATATAGGCGCTCTCTGTGCTGCATACATTGTCAGCGCTATATAAATGCCTGTAATAAATAAAAGTGTAGATTGGGATTAAATATATCAGTGTACCTCAGCAGAATCATGATCGGCACAGCTCTGGCCATCTGCTCCAACACACTCTTTACTTGTCAGATGATCCACAAACCAAAGTGCCACCGTCGCTGGCCAATTCCCTCCAAGATTGGACACTGTATTTAAAAGGGTCATATAGGTTCCTCCAATGAGAGGATCACTCACTTTGGCATTGAAAGCCATGATTGCCACAAACATGCTATATAGCGCAACCTGAAAAATAGAAAAAATAAAACATTTGTTAGTAGCCATTATTGTACCTTAACAGATATTAATGAGCCCAGAGCAGATTGTTATATGGCAATTATAATCAAAAGCTAATTGTTCATTACTAGGTCTTTAAAATTACTCTATACTGTAAAAAAGTGTAGATTATAAAAAATTTACCATGAAAAAAAAAAAAGCACTGTTGGATCCATCACAGTTGTCTTTAAAGACAAATTTTATTATGCTTTGAAAAAATAATGACATAAACTGATGCAAAAAATGATTATTTGTGATTTAAGTTCTGATTTAACTTACAGGAGACATACACAATAATCTTTTTTGACCATTTTCAGACCTCCCAAAATATCACAGTGGCAAAATGATGGAATGGACAGCCTTATGCGTGTTAGCTACATAATAAACTGGTGGTCCCCAGACAGCAGCCTGCGGGTCAGAGGTGGCCCTTTCCTTGCCTTTATAGCCCTTTTGGCACTGTTCGTCTGGCTGACACGATGGGGCACCTTTTCTGCCACTGACACTAATGATGAGGTACTGTTCCTTCCACTGACACAAACAATGGAGCAGAACTCCAACTGACATAAAAAATGGAGCTTAATTGTACAGCATTAACGGGGCACTATTTCCTCCACTGACACCAACGATGGGGCACCGTTCCTCCCAATGATACCAACACTAGGTAATTATTTTACTTCCACTGACCACCAACCCAAGGCCATTGTTAGCTCCTACTGGCCACCGAGCCTGAGACATTTATTACTCCCACTGACCATTATTGCCGGAAAATTTTCTGCTCCCGCTGGTAACAGTCTGGCCCCCTTAAAGTCTGAAGAAGAGTGAATTGGTCGTTTGTTAAGAAACTTTGGGGACCCCTTGCATTAAACCCTTTAGAGCCGCTGGAAACGTCACTGCATTACAGATAAAAAATGACACGTAATAATACTACCGGATAGATTGTTACCTGATGTAAGGCATAGCTCAACAGGAGAGCAGCATAGTAGTACATGGGGAAGCCTCCTTCATGGCTTATGTGTGGAGTCCACCAGACTATAAAGGCAAATAGTAGGCCCATAAGCAACCTTTATAATAAGGCAGAAAAAGACAGTGTTAGAATATAAGCAGAATGTGAAGAGTAAAACATATTCTACAACTTTACTTTGCTTCATATAAAAAAACACTATAGATACTAATGCTTTTAAAAAAATTACTATAAAAAGTAAAAATGTGGCAAATGAAGATTTTGTGTAATTTTATCTGACAATTCCACAAACAGTTAGAAAAAGGCTAAACAATATTAGGCCATTTACAATGTATTCTATCTGCAACTTTAATTAAAACGCCAACTAATGATCCTGCCATTAAAGTGACATTAAACCCTCAGATTTTTTAACATAAAACAATACTGTAATGTGTGCCTTACTGTAATCCATGGTTGTTTCCCTTCTCTTTGCTGCTCTTCCTTTTAAATCTGTATCTGTTCTCATGCTCTGCAGAACTTCTGTTTTGCCTTGTCTCAGGAATGGCTACATGGTGTCTGTGTGTAGGTTTGTAACCTGAGCCAGCACTACAGGAAGAGGCACTCAGCTGAAAAGGGAAGTTCTCCCCCAGCATGAGAAGACATGAGGATTTAAAAGGAAGAGCAGCAAAGAGAAGGGAAACAACCATGGATTACAGTAAGGCACACATTACAGTATTGTTTTATGTTAAAAAAATCTGAGGGTTTAATGTCACTTTAAGGCCCTTGAGCAGGCACCTCCTGTTATCGGATAACAAATTTATATCCCAGTTTCCCAACTGTACTCCTGTGTTGTCATCCTTCACATGGGATCAATCCTACTAGTGGCTGTTTAAGTGTTCATTACAGCCATCGCTGTAGTGATTGAATGTAGACAGGAAGTGCTTTAGAAAACAGTCATCTTGCTAGTTGGCCCCGCTGGCTGTCAAAATACCTGAAAAATCTGATTGGATGCAAGCATTGTTCAGGTATTTTGAGAGCCAGTGGGGCCGACTAGCAAGATACTGAAGCTTGGCCCAGTGGGAGATTCCTCCATCCACACAGTTTAGCATGGATGGAGAAATCTGTTGCACTTTTTCCATCTGACCATAGCAAATCTGCAGATAATCTATAGGTGTATGGCCAGCTTTAGAGAGGACAGTCATAATATCATAAATGTCCTATTGTTAAAGGTTCTTTAACACAAACACAGGCCATAGCTTCTGTGGGCACCAGCACTGTAGTCCCCATTCTCTTGTAATTCACAGTCCAGTAAGCCACTCCCCCCCCCCCCATGGGCCAGTGCAAAAAAAACCGCCCCCAGCAGG